TTGAATATAAATAATTTCATACAACATCAACATTACACAACGCCACTCTACGACCACAATAGATCAAGACAAAAACAAGACCACTCTATTATCATGTATAAACACAGACAAAACATAAGCAATGTCCAAGCCATTAAATACCAAACATCCCCATCTCAGGCTCAGGAGTGCTTCTTAACCAATTACAGCTTTGGCCTCACTCTAGTCTTACCACTTTCTAGATCAGATTTATTAAGATACTTAATCATAGAATTATCCTCACTTCCTGACAGCATCCAATCCAGAGGAAAACCCTGCTGCCTTAAATCCTCTTCAAAATTACCTAACACAAGCCCAAATTCTTTGGGTTCTTTCCAGCACCCTTTTCCTGAGATACACCACCGTTTCCCATGGTGTATGTTCTCCCTGGTTAAAATAAGTAAAATAAATCCCACTTGTTCACCACAGGTGTGTGTTCCTAATGAAGGCTGACTGAAAGGCACTGGCAAAGCCCACTTAAGAACAGCAGTTAATTCTCTCCCTCTTTATTGTAGCATAAAACATCTGCAGAACAACAGAAGAGATATGTGAATCAGTGTAGTACATCTATGCTATATCTATACGTGCATAGCTGTCAAACATATAATAGTCTCCAAGAAAATCATAGATTTTGACATTTTTCTTTCCTCATTTACCACAATGAACAACTGCTGAGATGATGAGTGTGCTCAAAGATGTTTTATTCTATAGGATGCCTAGCATGAGCAGTTGTAAGTCACAAAGGAAAAGAAAAAAGGCTGTATCAGCATATTACTACCTTCACTGGTATTATACATAATAGGTCAAGGAGAGGAAAAATAGTAGAAAAGTAGAGAATCTATACTTCAACAGAAGTAAAAAATACAACTACTATTAGGGAATAAGATGGTGGAAAGAGGCAGAAAGGGTTAGGAGAGATCTTTCGTCAATAATTTAATATCCACTTACTGACTATCTCTTAATTGTCATTAGGATGACTAATAATAATCTTAGGAATCTAGTTAACAGGTGAATTTTACAAGGTTTACTACTGTAAACCTTGTAAATACATTAGGAAAAATAAAAACTTCAATAAACAGCTAAAAACAGAACAAGAGAGAAAGTTCCTGAGGGTGGCTGCCTTTCTAGCTCTTAGAGCAAATACCACTAAATATGCTTGAAGAGAAATGTGAAATGTTTCTTGTGTAATTAATAAAAGGTAATGTTATTCTCTAGAAAAAGTATGATATTGTCTGACTATCCACCCATCAGAATAATTCTTTCCTTGTTCTCATCCTGGAAACTTTAATGCTCAAGAAAATTGTCTGAAATCAATCCTTTCAAAATGGTGTCCAGTAGTTTTTAGGAGTAAAAGAAAGTATACCAAATCTGATACTTGTGATTTTTACTCTTTATCTTTACCTTCTGAAAATAGACGTGGATAGGAAAGTATTTTGTGTGTGTTTAAATAAAATCCAAAGGTAAATAATAAGGAATTACAAAATTATATGGAAATCAACTTTTTATAAAACTTGCTGTTTTCATATAAACTGACTAGGAATAAGTAGAAAAGGATTTTATTTAGACAATTTCTGTCCTTGATGCCAGATTCTTCAGTCCCACAACATCCTGAGAAACTGGCTCTCTCTCATACAACATTCTGGGCCCTTATTGTCACGTCCTACATAGCAGAGGTAATCCAACCACACCTAGAGAACCTGCACCGCTGTATTACCCAGAATGCCTCAGGCTTGTCTTCCTGCAGGAGCTGTGTGAAACATGTTAGGTCATATTCTGGTTAATCCAAAGAACTACTATTACAACCTCTTCTTTTCTCCCAAGTATACAAGGGACTCTGTATGACAAAACAGAGAACCTGTGTAGTATAAAACAAAAAGTATAAAATCATGAGTCTGTTCACCTAAACACTGTTCCTGGTTCTGCTACAGTGAATTTACTCTTTAAATTTCAGTTTCTCCATATATACAATGGATAGCATGGGTTATCAGTTTTCCAAAGATGTTCAACAATTTAAGAAAATATCCATAAAACTATTTAATTCCTTGAAAAAAATGAGGGATATATAATATACATGAAAATATATACACATTTATTAATCACATATGTGTATGTTGTCTTAACAGATGTCACTGGAGAGGAAGTGAGTTTTTCTCAACATCTAGAATGCATTACTTGAGCTGTGCAAATTAACTGGTATCCAATAAATGCTTGCTTTAATGAATAAGACCTCACATAGCCTTACATTAGGTAAATAGATATGCTGTGCTATTCCACTCTATTTAAGATAGTTTGGTTAAAGACAAACTTAGGCCTTTCTGAAAATTCAGTGTCAAAATTGAGTATGCCATAAAATAAATGATATCCAAAATATACATAGTCACCATGTTAACCTCATTTGTACACTATTTGATTAAAATAAGATTTAATTTGGCCTTTATTATTTCAAGGCACCAAATGTTTCAATTAACAACACCGCAGTCTGAAATAACTCACTTTACCTGATGAAACAGAGTGGCTCTCAGTACATTTAGAAGCTAAGTCAAGTTGCTAAGGGAATGGCAGTACATGACATTACAAGCCCCTTAATGGTTTAACAGAATTAGAAAAACTCTGAAGACTGCCTATCCAGCTCATTTCTATTTGTTCACATATATTTTAATGCAGTGTGAAAGAGGGAGAATGAAATTCTCTTGGAATTAAGTTCTGTATTGTCAAGGATGGCTGAGAGGCAAATGGACTTCAAATGTGAACTCTTACAACTACTGGATTAAGGATAAAGTACAAACATTTTCAATATGCTAAAGGAAAAACTTAAAATAGAACCATGACAATATAAACTCAGTTTTACTTCATTTTTACAGGAAAATGAATATATAACTAACTTGTTTCAGTTTGAATTTATTTTGGCATATGATGCATTCAGTTGTAGGGTTCAAACTAAAGAGTTATCATAGCCCACTCTGATGTCCACTTTAGAAACTAAAGCATAAGTAAAACAAAAGCCTTTGAATAGAAACATTATCAGTAGAAAGAAGGTGAAATAAGGGGTTCACAGATTGCTAAAAATATTTATACCTAAGAAACTATTTTAAGAGGATTTAAAAATAATAGATATAGGCACATATGTGATACTCAAATATAAGTCACCAGCATGAAACTCAAGGTCTGAATTCTACTTCTATCATGACCCCTCACACAGAACTGATTTTTCTTTAAATCTAAGAGACTAGGGTCTTTTTTTTTCTCCATACCTAGGTTTTTCTTGACTTCTCTTCTTACGCTACCTCTCAAAGACCTCCCATCATCCAGTGTTAACTAAAATTTTATTTTCTGGCATTCTCTTCCTAAACACAACAATTAATCTACCCTTAAACAGATTTCCTCTATTCAAAAATATCTTTTGACCTAGATTAGTAAACTTCAGAGGACCCTACTGTAATAGGGTCCTGCAATAAAACAGTGCTTCTCTAGGAAAGGATGATGGTACCCTTCTTCATCCTCCCCAAGAGATCCCTGGGTGTTCCTCAGAGGTGGTAAAGAATGAAGCAGTTAACACTGCCTTCCACAAATACATGGTATTTTTTCTTAAGTGTGTCTCCTTCCTTGAACCCTCTTAACCTCCACTCCTGCCTCTTTCTTTATATCCTACTTCTTACTACCTTGCCCCACAAAAGAAATAGGTTTCAATAAAACTGAAACTCTAGAATAGTTTCTGAAGTTGGTAGTGGAGAGACTACAAATGAAATGCAGATTGACTTTTTTTTTTTTAATTTAACTAATAGTGCAAGTGAGTACTTAATTGAGGTGTGGTGGAAAAGTGTTCTTTGGTAGTCAGAGGGAAAAGAAGATCTCAGCATACTGGAGTACTGGAGTTGGGATGAAAACAAGGATTTTCAAAATGTGATTCCTAATTTTATTTATCGTCTTCCATAAAAAATATTTTCATTAGCAACTAGCATAGGTTTGGAATGATCTGCTTTAATCTTTTGAGCCTCAGTTTGTTCATCTGTAACATGCTGGCAGTAACAGTACCTTCACCTCACAGGATAATTGTGAGGATTAAATAGATAACACATGCAAAGCTAAGAGCACAAAGAATTTATAAATAAATAAATAAATAAATAAATAAATAAATAAATAAATAAAGCAAAATTAAGCGCTCAGTGCCTGATACATAGAAAGGCTAAAATACATCAGCTGAAAAGAAATCTGAAGGATGTAGTATCCTTGCTTTCGTTCAAAAACATACATCTTTACTTTAAGTTTTATTGTAAAATGATATGTATAAGTTTATCCTATTCGTTCACTTAACATTTCAATTTAGAAACTCAGAGGCTTTCTTGGAATACTGATTTAGATAAAAATCAAAGTAACCAGGAGCAAAAGTTTTATGCTAAAATAAAACTTTACTGAAAAATACTTAGCAGCCATTAAACTGATAAAGTGACTGCCGTAAAACTTTAAAAAATGCAAATTCAGCTGTAATCATAGGCAGCTGTTCTTTTCAAAATTAAGTCACCATTTGTTCTTTTTTTTTCGTACACTACAGTACTCTGCTTTCATTAAAAGCCTATAACAAGGCACAGCTTCTTCGATATCAAAACCTTTTGGAAACCTGGCTCAAAGGAAGACACACTGTTTACAGTGCTAGAAAGAATCCGTGTGGTCACTCTAGGACAACTGTCACTGTCATCGGCACGTCTGGATTATCTCATAGAGACTTGGGTCATGAAAAGTGTAGGGGAAGGTTGGTGTCTGAAACAAAGTCGACAGCTAGCGTGCCCTGAAAGGGGAGAGATTTTAACTGAGAATCGTAGAGGATGAAGGTCTGACTGCGGGGAAGCAGTCTCATGGGGCGGATCAATTCCGGGGGTGCACCGCCCGCTCCCGGAGGAAAGGGACGCAGGTGTTGCCCTCTTTCGGCGACCCCCCACCAATGTCTTCCCGGCGCCGCAGCCCCTTCCCTCTAGTCCTCCGCTTACCTTTCTCGTCCTCATCGATGCGCAGTGCAACGGAGATGTACTCGAAGGCCTGTTTGTGGAAGGCTCGGACTCGCTCAGCCTCCCCGCCCGGCACTGGCGCCGGGGATGAGGCCGACGTCGGCGCGGCCGGGGAGCTCCTCTTGGCGGCCATGAGGGCGCGGGAGAAGCGCTGGCAGAGCCACACGAAGAGGAGCCCCAGGTGGAAGGCGACCAAACGCAGCAGCGCGAAGCCTACGAAGAGCGGGTAGGAGAAGTAGTACAGGTTCCGCTTATGCGGCGACTCCGGCGGCGGGGCCGGCCTGGGGGCGGGACGGGCGGGGGCCAGGCAGGGGGGCGGAGGCCTGGGAGGCACCGGGCTGCTGGGGCCGCCGGAGCCTTTTTTCTTTCCTCGTCCACCCGGAGAATTCATTCACAGCTCCCACTGCCGCCGCCGCCATAACCCGCCTCCCGCAGACCGACGGCGACCAAGCGACGGCAGCGGCCACTGGGACGACGAGGGCCACAGACCCCCGCGCGCCGGCAGGTCCCAAGAGCTCGGCACCTCCACACGCTGCTCGCCGGCCCCGCCCCTTTCTCCTCTCAAGGCCGGGAGCACAACCCCTTCTCCTCCTCCTCCTGCGGTCGTTGGTTCCTGCCCCTCCCTCTCTCTGTCCTCTCATCCGCCTCTGGTAGCTCAGAGCGGCAGCCGCGCGCGCACGCCCTCCCGTGTCTTTCTCCGGCGCGCGCGCGCACGCTGCCGTCTTTGTTGCCTTAAGCGCCTAGTGCGCTTGTGCAGCGTCCGCCCCCCGGTCCCTTCCCTGAGGAACTAAAGTTCCCAGTGTGCAGTTCGGCTCTACGTGCTCTTCTGTGACTGTCGCTCTGCGGCTTTAACCGCCCCTGGGAGCTCCTTAGCTGGAAACGTTGGTCATCAACTCACAGTAGGGACGGCCTCGGTTTGGGGTCGCTCGGCTAGGTCGCAGGGTTTCAGTCTCGGAGCGTCATCGTTTTCTTATATGCATTTCTTTCAGCATTTTCTGCCAATCTTCCGCAAAGGATAATTAACCTCAGTTCTATCTCATAATCAGTGGGTACCAGATCTGGAAATTATCTGAGATGGGAGCAGTAGTAAAGACGTACAAATTTAAGGTCACTCGAAACGCAAATGTTAGCTCAATGGAATGAAGTCAGCGATTCCAGAGGTATAACTAAATTAGTACGTGTTTAGATGAAGATTTAATTTGTTTGAATAAGGGAACCCTTAAGTCTTGCAGAGTAATCATCCCGTAGTTTACTGGGGAATCCAGGCTGGGCCTTTTTTGGGAAAAAAAGATTCTGTTCGATGCACCTTCCTTTAGCGATCTACCTACACCTCTGCTGCCTGTATTGTAATGAGCTGCAAGCACAGAGCCCCACCTCGCAGATCACAGAGGTAGAAACACTAGGTCATTGATACTCTCCTAGAAACTGGAATCTTGGATGGAGATACACTTGGATAGAAGGTAGTAGGAATTGAGTGCTCTAAAGAGCTGGTCTATCAGTTCATCTCACTTAGATCCCCAGAGATGCCAGGTTCCTAGACTGGTCACTTGATAATGTAACCTATCCAATAAACTACTTGGTCTGTTTCTCTATTTCTGTTGCTCTTCTTCCTTCCTCTCGTTCCCTCCTCTCTCCATCCGTCTCTCTACCCCCTCGTTTCTTCTCTCTCCTCTTTCTGTTTATATTTGGGTTAGTCATAATTGTTTTTTGTTGTTGTTGTTGTTACCTACAACTAAGGAATACTAACTGATAACAAAGTCCCCATTGTTTAAAGTGTAAGGTTTACAAATGCTTCATGCCAGCTTCCAAGAATCTCTACATTCTGGCTACAACTTCATCTAATTGTTCCCCACCACTACTTCCCTACATATATAGGCTACTGTAAAGAAAATGACCACTTCCCTGTTTCTTTCCTACTTTTCCTCTCCCTCACCCCTTTACTACCTCTGTTTTTTCTGAAATGCCTTCCCTAACATCTGATTCATTTCAATTTCTGACTTCTCACTTTTGAACCCCACAGTACTTTTTGTTGTGTGAAATCTATTACATTTATACATGTATCATGTAAACAAGATGTATGTAACATGTATAATTTAAAAAAAACCAGCATCCAGTTTAAGAAAAACGAATGTAACCAGTTCCTTGAAGAACGCTGAGCCCCTCCCTAATTTCAATCTTTCTCCCCCTCTAGAGGAAGCCACTATCCTGAATTTCGTGCTCATCATTTCTTTGCCTTTCATTTTAGTTTTGCAATGTATGTAGTTATCTCTAAACATCATGTTGCATAATCTTGCCTGATTTTTACACAATTATCCTGCATGTTTTCTTCTTAATTAGCTTTTTCTGCTCAATGTTTAAGTGTTGGAGATTCCTCCTTGTTTTGTACAGCTATAGTACTTTTATTTTCACTGCTATATTCCATTATATGAATTTACCACAATTTATTTTACCATTTAACTGTTGAGGGATTAATGGATATTCAGTTTGGTGCCAGGATATTTTTTTCCTTATGTAACTAATTTTTTTTTAATAATTCATAGCTTTTATTTTTTTTTAATTTTTATTGTTAGTTTCAGGTGTACAGAACAATGCAATAGTTATCCTTTTCACCCTCACAAAGTAACAACCCCTCTTTCCCCCTCTATTGCCCTCCCCCCCCCGATATCATGCTTATCTATTACAATTCCATTGACTCCATTCCCACTCTCTACTCCATGTCCCGTGACTATATGTATATATAATTATAGTTGACATACAATATTATTCAACATCAGCTTCAGAAATACAGTGCGGTGGTCAGGCCTCTACACCGACTATGAAGTGGTCTTCCCAACAGGACGTGAGTCCATCTGGCCCCCTAAGAAATATTTACAATGTAACTAACTTTTTAACTTAATCAAGACATGGCCCAAAAGAGTGGTTCTGGAATCAGAATGTTTGCATTCAAATCCCTGCTCCAACACTTTCTGTGAGCTTGGATTAGTGACAGTTTCCATATCTATGTTTCAGCTTCCACATCTATTACATCATGACACAGTAGTAGGCAGTGCCTGCAATGAAGTTGTTGCTTATTTGTTGAATGAAGAATGGCCCTCTCATAGCCACATGTATTATATCCAACTAAAGCTGCTGACAAGTATCTGAGCGTTCTTTACTCTCTCCCTGGACTATGATTATCCTCATGTCATTTTTCTTTCTCTTAGAATTTCTTCTCTTCCTACCTCCACTGTCAAAATCCTTCAAGGCTTAACTGTAATGTTATCTTCTTGATTAATCCTTCCCTTATCACCTCCAGCAGAAATGATCCTATTTTTTAATTCTTATGACAATATGGTTGTTTTACTCAATGGCTCTTTTAATATATTGCCTGGCGTAATAGTTACATATTTTATCACCTCCTGATATAGATTATAAACTTATTTCATTGCAGTGGCCAAACTTTACACAATTCATCTCACTTTCTGCATCTAGCCTGATGCCTTGCTTTTGGTATTCATTTGATAAATATTAATAATTTGGAAAACAATTCAAAATGGTGATTGTTGTAGATATCTATTGTTATGTAATAAGCCCCTCCAAACTACCAGTTTAAGGTAACAGCTATTTATTTACTTACAATTCTATGAGTCAGCATTTTGGGCTGGGCTTAGCTGGATGGTTCTTATGCTAGCCTTACCGAGGGTTATTCATGCAGATGAAGTCATCTGATGGCTTGACTGGGGCTGGGTGACCTAGCTATCCTCACTCACATGTCCACATGCTGCTGGTGGCTATTGGCTGGGGTATGTGTCTCCAGCAGGATATTCCAGACTTTTTTATATAGCATCTGGCTTCTGAGAGAGTGTGAGTGGAAGTTGCAAGGCCTCTTGAAGCCTAAACTCTAAAGTTGCACAATGTCATTTCTGTTGCATTCTGTCATGAAAGCAAGTCATAAAGCCAACTCAAATTTAAGAGATGGGAAAATAAATTGTACATCTTGATGGAGGAGTGGCAAAGTCACATTGTAAAGAGATATTTGTAATTATAGGGATATATATATATATATATATATATATATATATACACCTGTAATTCTATATATATGGAATTCTATATAGAATTATTGTGGCATTTTTGCAAGTACTCTACCACCATGATTATATATAGAATTTCCTTTTACCTCAGGTTCACATTGCAGCTTAGGATGGATCGCTCATCTAAGAAAGCATATCCCAACCACTTTTCTGAATTATAAAAACCTTCTTAGTTTCAACCATGAGGTAAATTAACATACTTAAATTTAAGGAGACAACAACAACGCTGATGATGATGACTACTTGTACTAACATTTATTGAACCCATATTGTGGGCTAAGCAGTTTAACTTTTACTGTCTTATGTAATCATCACTATTTGAGTTAAGTGATGTTGTTTCCATTTTTTAAAAGAAGAAATTTGAGGCTCTAGTCATCTGTTACTTGCCCAACAGCATGTGTTAGTTATTGACACATCTACTTCAGGCCTTAAGGTGAAAATCTAGGCTTCCAGAGAAAAACATTTTTATATAATCTGTTTATATTTTATTAATTATGAAATAAATACATTTTTAGCCCCTGGAGCAGGAGTGATCTTTCATTCCTGGTCATCCAGGTGTTGAGTTTCTGGCCGTTGGCCTTCCACTTGCTAAGTCTCTGTTATCCAGTTGTACTTACTATTGACTGTGCATTTCTGTACCTTGGCCATTTTTTATTTTTTGGTATGGTAAAAATATGAAATTGAGAGTCAGAAAGACTGGGCTTGATATTCTGGTCCTGCCACTTAGTTGTGTGATATGGAACAAGTTCTTTAGTTAACTCCTCTGTAAAATGAACTGAATAAGAAATTACAAAATGAAAAAATAAATCTAAAGCCTCCAGCATAAGTCCTATAACATAAGAAAGCTTAATCAATTTATTTGTTTTTGTCTTGTACACCTACAATGCCATTTCAGAATTCAGAAAGTACTGGGATCTCAATTTTTAGTAATCTCAGTACACATCTTCTGCCTCTTGGAATTATATCCCAATCAAACGCATTTTCTGAATTAACATCTTTCTAAATTTATCTCAAGAAAAATAGTGCCTAAATGTTACCCTGGCCTTATCATCTGCCTGGACTGAGGATTCTAACCTTCTCAGCCATTTAATTTACAGTGTGACAGCCTCCCAGTTTTCAGATGGTAAGAACTTGCAGGACACTTAATCTTGAATGGAATCTGGGCCAGTGTCACCAGGACAAAAAGGAGGAGCTGAGTACTGTGCTAACTAATCCAGGACATTTGGTCACTTTATCACTTTAACCCATTAATCTATTTACGAAGTAACTACTACCAAATAGTTTTTTGGATATTTTAGCTCTACTTCTCTTTTAAGGAACTCCCTAAATCTTTAGCTTGAGATACGCTGGATTAGTTGAAGTAGGGACCAATGACAGATATTAAGGACCTCTTTTAAATTAAAAAAATAATAGTAAGTAAAATAAAATGGCACACCTAGAACCAAGAGAGGAGATGATTTTGAAAAAACCAGAAAACTTAAACAAAAGACATGGTTGGTGAGGGATGGGAGGAGTGGAGTAACAATTAGGGGAGTATCATCCTATAGCTGTGTTAATAAGCAGAAACATAATTGTGGACAATTAATCATTTCCCTGTATTGAGTTCACATTGTGGCATA